TATCTCCACCACCTAGAGGAAAGTGTAAGAGATGAACACAGGTACAGGACAAAAGGCTGCAGATAAAACAGTCATTTACACGGCTATGGGAAAAGTTTCATATTAGAACATTTATCAACTAAGGCACGGAGAAGGCTACACACTGCTGAGCCTACTAGGAATCAGAGGATGGCACTGATGAAGGGCTAAAGGATGGAAGCATTAGTGTCTGCAGATGGCCAAGGGATTCTCTGGTGATTTTGCCTCAAACTGTGTAACCAGGTCTAAAAACATCCACTTTAGCTGTGCAAGGGAACAGCTAATTACACCTGAAGGAACGGGAATCCTGAGAGCCCTACACAAGTTCACAAGTCATGCAAGCAGGGAAAAGCTCCTGAGCTGGAGCTGATTTCCTTCCAGGACTCTTCCTCACCTTCTGTCTCCATGTCTTGCCCCTTGGGAGCTTCCCCGATATCGATAGTGAACATCACTATCTTGGGAGTCATGGTGGACATCCTGTTGCTAAAGCAAAACTTGTAAGTTCCATCCATGTGGGCAGCAAAGGTGTATTTTCCACTGGACTCTCGATCGCCTTTATAAATCCCTTTATTATCGGGCCCCGTGATCTGCGTGGGGAAAAGAGAGGATCACACGTTTTTTTATTTCAAACACAGAGGTTTCAAATGCACCATCACAGCACTGCCAGCACGCTCTGCAGCCAGCCAGTCACAGGCACCAGCACCATCTGTAATCTGGCTGCTTTGGCACACTTCAATTTTTCCCTCCCACAACTCACTGGAGCAGCTCTCTGCACAGAAATCTTTCAAAAAAAACCCCACAAACTTCTTGGTAAAGAAAGTCATACAAAAGCCTGTCTCCCTGGCCTCTTGTGGTTGAGATAAGCAGTCAAGAAAAACACAAACCCTGGCTGTTTGTCAAATTAACAGCTGCAGGGGAAACCTTATCTCTGATGTCTGAAGGAAAACAAAAAGGAAAAAAAAGACATTCTCCAATCGACTTTAGACACACAGTCGGGCATTGTTGCAGTTACCATTTCAAATGCGCTGCAGACCTGAGTTCTGAGCTCTCAGGGTCACTGTGATCCTAAATTCCCACCGCAGCAGGCCAAACTGCTGCTGAGCTTCCACCAGGGCCACGTGAAGGGAATCTCAGCTTCCAGAGCCTGTCCTGTGTCACAGCCATGTGTCATTTTCAACTGTTACAGGACTCTCATGTCTGTGATACCCCAATCAAAAAACGCTCTGCTCCGTAACACGATAAAGGAAATTCGTACTCAGTATTCTCCTGATTTGATTCCTCTTTGAAGATAAGTATTGGCTCAAAACCTTCCCGATGCCAACCACCCGGATTAAACACCTTTGGATTCAAGGGGAAGCACGCTGCTCCTCAACCGGCAGCGGCTGATTCCAGAGAGCAACGCCGGTCATTCCTCCCGCCAAATAATTCACCGTGACGAGGCTGCACCGAGCGGAACGAGGCTGAAAATCCCGAGGGAAGGGAGGGCAGATGGAGCAGCACAGCCTCGTGCAGCAGTGCCAGGGGGGACACCCGCACAAGCACCCGGGCCTGCCCGAGGCCGCCCACGCCGGGCCGTGAGCGCTCCCGCCGCACGGAGCCCCGGCAGCGCGGCGGGTCCGCCCCGAGCCCCGGCGGGCGGCTCCGGCCCCGCTCCGGCCCGTCCCGAACCCCCTCGGGCGGGCCTGATCCCGCTCCTGCCGGTGCCGCCGCTCGCTCCCGAGGGGCCCCACACACAGCGGGGCCGCAGCGCGCGGGGCCCGGCCCCGGGACGGCCCCGCTCCCCAAGGTCGGCCCGCGCCGCCGCCGCACCTCCACGTCGATGTCCAGGAAGCCGCCCTCGGCCACCTCGAAGATGAGCCCCATCTTGGTGCCGGACGGCACGCGCTCCAGGAAGCACTCCTCGGCGTGCGCGTCGATGCTGACGAAGTAGGCGGCGGCCGGGGCCGCCAGCGCGGCCACCAGCGCCAGCACCGCCCGCACCGGCGACATGGCGGAGCGACCGGCGGCGGCACCGAGCGGCGCTTCCGGCCCGCGCCGCGCCCCTTCCGGCGCACGGGGCCGCCGCTCATTGGCCACCGCCGCCCCGCTGCCACGTACGGGCTGCGCTACGGCGGCTGCCGGGAAACAAAAAGCAGCGGGACCGCCAAAGCGCCGCGGCAGCGCCCGCGCTGCGCGGGAGGCGAGACCCAGGGGCGGGAGCAGCCAATGAGCGGTGAGAAAAGGCGGGGCGGTGGCGGCGAGAGCCAATCGGAGAGAGGCGCGGGGAGCGGCGGTGGGAGCGGGGATGAGGGGGCGTTGCCCGGCAACGGGGCGGGGCGAGCGCGGGAGGCGGGAAACGGCGGCTGAGGGGATGGGGGGCGGCGGCCCCTGAGGGAATGAGGACAGGCGGGAGGGCGGCAAGGTGCTTGTCAACACGGCTGTCACTGCGGCCGAGGCTGCTGCTAAAACCGGGAAACCAGAACTTGCTGCAGCAAGGGAGAGGTTTGGAGAGTAGCCATCGTTTAAGGCGTTAATAGGAAAGCCCATCTTGCGGGCTATTCACACTTAAGGAAACACGTGGCACGTCCACGTTCCTGCTTCACCCAAAAGTAACTGTTTAAAAACACATTCCTTGCATGACCATGCTAAAGCGCTAATTTCCAATTAAACCTTCCAAAGAGAAATACAGACGTTCGTGCTTGAGCTCAAGGCAGCCTGTTTCTTGACTACTGTTTCAGTGATGTGGAGAAGAGTTAAAGCCTAACACACAGCCTGGCTTTCCAGTGGAATATTTACGCGCTGGTTTTGCCAATAAGTGCTGGTTATTGTCCTCCTGGTGACACCCAGATGCGTCTATCTTGCCAAATGGCAGAGTTACATGGGTACATTCTGCTCTCTCCCTCCAGGTGTGAGCCAGCAGAGCTGCTGTGTCAGCAGTGCACGCACAGGGTGAGGACAAGTGTGGACAAAATTCTGCAAGACAAGCTGAGCCTGAGGAGATGCAGGTCACATACGTGGCTGGATAAGAGACTTTTCCTGCCAAGTCGTTTTCTGTCAGTTTGGATCAGGATAACATCAAATCTACTGCTTCCCATACCACAAACTGTGCTGTTTTTTCACCTTTCTCAGCTGTAGTTTTAGTCTTTCCACACATGTTCCGTACAGTGTTATATTTTTCCTCTACCCGCACTTCAACAGAACAATGGGAACTCACGTAATACCAAATTCTTGTGGCAAAACCTCTTTTTCTCATCTCTAACTTGGGCAAAACGATGATTTCACAGCATAGCTGCTCCCCTGAGGTACTGCAGAGTGTTCTGCAAACGTTCTGCTTGGGTTGCTTCTCCTTGCGTTCTCATAAGCACCTTTGCCAGGAAAGGATTACTACACCATTATTCATCCTCCTCCTCTCCCTGGAACTTTGTGCAATATCCTGTCGTGTTCAGCTTTGGGAATAAGTTTCATGAACAATATATAGATATATTATCACTGGGTTATTGCTCCAACTTAGGCAATTGATTGCCAAGCTCGGGTATTTAGGGACTGGTTGTTCCCCTCCTTGCTGTCTTGTTACCTACCGGCAGCTCGTGAGGAAAATCAGTATTTTGTACCTCACGGCACAAGGAGGTTGCGACAGAATTGCAGGAAAAAGCTGGTCTGTGTGTCACAGTGTTGTACTTCTGGGTGTTACAGTGTTACATTTCTTATCGTTCATCACTCTCATTCCCCTGCATTGGCGTTTTGCATCTGCCAAAAGTAGGTAATTAATACTGTATTCACAACATGCAGCATGTGTCAAAGTCATTCCAGGCTTGGCTTTTGCAGCCCCGCTGCTATTTCTCCTCACTAGCTCCAGTGTTTGATATTATTCATCATATCTTGTCCAAAATAAAATGTATCCTTCCTACTCTGCATACAGCAAATGGCAGGACTAAAATTATTTCCAGACACATTTAACTTATTTGTAGAGACTCATCTGGAGCATCTCTTCCTATGGAAAGATCCAAACTTTCACAGTCACACCTGAAAGCAAAAATACATTTGACCAGAAAAATACATTTTGGTTTCATTTAAATTCTTCTGTAAGTGGATCCATGCCAGCAAGCTGCTTGCATGTGTAAAATCTCCACTGATTCTCGGAACATGTGCTCAGAAAAGACTCTTTCTGTGCTCTTGCGGAGAAGAACCTAAAACCCCTAATATTGATGTGCAGCTGCTGTGTGCGCTGCAGCACGGCTCGTTCACCCCATTCCATGTGCATCCGTCAGCCTCCGTCCTCTTCGGGAGCAGGGGAACATCGCCTCCCGTCCATCCTGGTCCGGACGTGTCAGCTCCGGACACTGCGGTCGCTGTTGGGTCCCACGGACACACCTGCGGCCCCTGCCCCTGCTGCGAACCCACTCCAGCGTAGGGCATCGTCTGCGTGGGACCCGAACCCCGAACACGGGCAGCTTCGAGCTCTGCCCGCTCAAACTCGCGGCTGCGCTCCCCGGACGGTACCGAGAGCCCTCCGGGTGATGCTCGGCACAAGCAGCGAGCGAAGAGCGCCCGCGCTTGGCGATGCTCCTCTCCGAAGGGGACAAACAAAGCCCCGCGGAGCAGCGAAGTCCCCCGCGACTCCTCCCGGCGGGAATGGCTCCGGGAACCGGGAGGCGCGGGGACCGCGGGCATGCGCGGGGCCGCCCCCGGCCCGCCCTGCGCCGGGCATTGGCCGCGGGCGGCGGGGCGGTGGTGGCGGGGACGCCGCGCCCGCCTCCCGCCGCCGCTCCCCCAGCGCCGCCCGGCCAAGTTTAAACACCCCCGGCCGAGCCGCCCGGAGTTCGCGGGAGTTGCCGGGGGCCGCGTCCCGGGCGTGGGGCAGCGGGAGCGGCTGCAGGGGAACCGCCCCGCCCGGAGCGAGCCCCGCCGCCGCCTATGCGGGCGCCGCGGGGCCGGG